CACAAGGGCATGAGTGTGAAAGTGCTGAAGTCAAAATCTGAACTGAACTTATTGATTTCATGCAGATAACCATTACATTAAATCTAGAGAAGCTGACAAAATTAACCTTGGAAGCTTTTGTATTCTACATTTAGAAAACATCTGTTCATGTCAATGTTGTGGAAAATATTAACAAGTATATAGCTTAAGAGTGATTTATTAGTTTGATTTGGTTTTTATGGCTTAACACTTTATGGGTCTTTGTTTTGGCTTGCAAGAATAATTTTCTTTTTGCAAGTGAATATTGTAGATATATATTTTTATAAATAATGATTTTTCCAGATACAAGTTCTATTTAGCCCATATGTGGGTGGCGGGGAATGGATTCATATCTTTCCCAAAGGTATTTACATATAAGGAAGTGTAATGAATTTAACTAGAATCCAAACTCAGCTCTCCAATTTCTCACTACGAGTTGTTATCCATTACACCACCCACACGTCCCTTAAGATTGATACATGATGACTGTATGCATATATGAGGAAAGGATGCAGGCACAAACATGTACACAAAGTTCATAGGATACACAGTTTATTTTCTTTTAAAATGAATACAAAAAATAGTTACGTAGTGCACACATACTCAAAGACTTTTGTGGCTAGCTAAGTGTAGCACTTGCAGTAGAGTACCTATTTTATTGCCTTATCAACCAGGAAGTAAATGGAAGTTCTTCACCTTTTGCCATATTTGCTCTTCTTCAGTATTCACAAAAAGTGTTGCCATTGCCTGAATAAATAATTTTTTAAATTCTTTACTATAATTATAATGTGGATTTAAGCAGTATTTGCAGTCCAATATGATTATCAATAGAGAGGAAAAAAAAAAAAAAAAAAAACAGAAAAAAAGACAACTTCAAACTGAATATAATCCCTAACTGAATCATGTAGAACAGAATATGATTTGGTTTTGGGTGTATAATGTTTTGATAGCAAAGAAAAGTAATTAAAACTTTTTAGGCATTTGGATTTCTATACAAACTATCCATCCAGAGAAGAGACTGACCGTACTTGCTTTATGTTTTGTTTTTTTAGGTGGGGGGGGGGGAGAATATGACTAACAATGTTATATAAGGGAGTGCTGAAAAAGTTCAGCTCAACCAAGAAGCCCCTTTTATTAAAAAACAAAAACTATTTGATCAAATTTTGGAAAGTGGGTCAGGCAGATAACTTTTTAGCACCTCCTCCCCTCAAACACTGGTCACATTTATGATCAGTTGAACAAAAATTAAATGTATTCTTAACTATCCTTTTTGTTTTTTTTTACTACTACTAGATATGGTTAACAGATTTAGACTTTTATATAGTTGCTAGACTAAGCAAACTTTAGCAGAGATTTCAATGATGGAACACTTAGAGGAACAACTCCAAACAAAGCTGTTAATCATTACAGGAGAGCAAGTGCTCCAGATTTTGTATTTAATTCTGAAAAATTATTGGACACAAAGTTAACACATATGGAATGTGTCAGTGGCTTGATATTATATATGATAACAAGTAAAAACCATAAATAGAATAAAAATTGTGTTTCAAGAACTGTTTTTAGTAGTGGTAATGGTGCTAGTATGCAAACATTGGAATGAAAGAATTCTTTGAGCTGAACAAGAAGTTGAATAGAGGAATGGAAATTTATTCAGATAAAAGAACAATGAGATTCAGAGAAGAGACCCAATTCCAACTGACTGACCAGAAAAATACGTTAAGGAAATCCAGAATTAGATCCAGCTTTACACTCAAATGAATCCTTCCCAATGAAAAAATTGCATTGTATTTATAGTAAAAGAGCATAATAGATGCAGACAATTGTCTATAGAAAAAACACGCACAAGGAGCTTAAATTTAAATTTTTCACTCCACAATCACTTATGCAAATTTTGAAGTCACATTGACTAACACAAATAGAATTACAATGGGATTGCTTACTATTATTGATTAATTAAAATGATTGATTGATTGTTTTTAGGGTTTATTTAAAGCCAGAAGATACTTTTTGGTTGATTGGTTTGGTTTATTTTGTTTAACGGCATATCAACCTCAACAGGTTATTTAATGCTGACAACATTTTCAGGATAGATTCATATGAATAGAGTATGTATTCTTTGGTTTAGATTGGTTTGGTTTATTTTGTTTGACGGCATATCAACCTCAATGGGTTATTTAATGCTAATAAAAAATTTTATTGCTGGTAATATTTTGTTTTGTCAAAAATCCGTTTCTGGTAATATGTATTACAAAAAAAAATTCAAAATTGTATTGCTGGCAATAGTTTTTTTCAAAAAAGTATTGCTGATAATAGTTAACTATTTGCCCATAGCTGGAACCCTAGCAGGTGCTACTACCCCAGGTCAGGGTGGACCTGGGAACACCAGCAATTAAGAGGTGGTTCCACGCTCCTGATCAGAGGCCTTGCTGCTGGACATAGTTTAACGTCTTACCCAGGACACGGTTGTTGGTTGATATGTCTTCTATGTTTATCAATTCTTTGCAGGCTAATTAAAAAGTCAATATAATTAGCACAACAGGAATTAGAACATTGATCTCCAATTTTCAAATCCAAGCTATTATCCATTACACGGCCCATACATCCATACTTACAGCACTTGGTATTCCCAAACAGTCACACATCTAAGTACTGGTCAGATGTGAAGTTACTTCAAAGATTGTACAGGAACTGATGTTTCAATGAGATGTGACTAATTTTTTTAGATTGTAAAAATTTTTTGAGATAATGATTTACTGGTACAAATCTAATTAATCCACACTTTGAGAGAGATAAGAGGTTGATTCATATATTTACCAAGGATATTTGGCTATAAATGAATAACAAATAAAATTCATTTTAAATTCCAAGCAGTTATTCATTATGCCAACTACACATTCAAGCTTACAGTACCTGGTATTCCCAAGTAGTCACCCATCTAAGTACTGACCAGGTTCAACATTGCTTGACTTTGTACAAGAACCAGGATTTCAATGAGATGTGGTTGTAAGTCCCAATTAAAATAATTAAAAAGGTCAAATCTGTTAGTCTTTGTAAATAATACATAAATTCCTTAGCTATATATATTTTCATTTCATTCATTTTTTTTTCTTTCTCCACCTCCAAATAAAATCTAAGTTTTCTTAAATGCATTCATAACTTTTGAACAGAACTAAGTATCTTGTTTACACTATTTATATCCTGACTATTGTCCTCATCTTTTATCCACTAGGCCATTGTTCCATAGTGTTTTGTTAATTTGATGACAGTGGTTTTGAGTTCAGTCACTGGGTCAGGAAGTGTGTACTTGCACGCAGTGGAAATGGCCAAGCAATAACTGAACAGTACTAAATAAAATCAGAACTAAACAATATCTCTAGACACAAGCAGTGGAATGAGAACTGTCTACTCCCATAGATTAAATAAAGGGTTCAGTTCGGAATTCCCTGTAGGATACCCAGATCAATATACAACTGAGGAAGACACAAACGCGATAACAATAAAAATGATGAGGAAAATAGTCTGAATATTAATAGTGCAAATAATAACACTTCATCCCAGAAATTCAGACAAGAATAAACTTTCTTGAGCAACCAACAAAAATATAATCCATCAGAAGACAGTAATAAAACTATTAACTAATAAATCTATATTATAAAAGAGCTGGTTCTCTGTCCATCACACACTGACTGCAGGTGATTTTGCATACTCACGCATATATCTTGGTTGAGCATGAGTGACCTACATGTGCTACCGTACACACAAGCACATGGACACAGAATTTGAAATTGTAACATTACATTCACATCACTGTCAGGGGAAAAAAAAAAATTTATTGACCTTTTCATTAATTATTTGGTAATAAATAGAAATATATTTTATAAAGCTTAAAAGTCTTTATCACAAGGGCTAATATCCCTGTCCGATAACAACCCCTGTATAATGGGAGAGAATAAGGTGTTTTTTTACGAGTCCTTTTTGTAACTCAATATATTTTGTAATAAATATAGTATTTTAAATAGACAAACAATTTAAAATTGAAATTTGATTATCATGTCATCAGAAAAACAAATAATATAAAAATTGATATCAAGAGAGTCCAGCTATACAAAAATAAATTTGTTGGCTGAAATGAGGAAAATAAACTGGTCACTTTTCATTCAGCTTGATTTGTTTTGTTTTTCTTAAAATAATAGAATCTAACATCCACATAAAAAAAAAAAAAAGTACTTATTTCAGGCTTGGCAGTAAACCTTTCAAAACTAATTTCAAGTAACAAATCAGATTTTAATTACAGTTTATAAAATAGCTACTAAATTATCATTAAAAGATTTCTATTTTTATTTTTCTCAGATACGAGAAGTTAAATAGAGTCAATCATCAATTTATTTTACTCAACTGATTTTTAACTTTAAAGAATTTTGACAGATTACAGAAATAAGACCAGATCAAATAATTGCCAATCAACAAGAAAATTGTTAGAAAATACTGTATTGAGGAGTCTATATGTATATTCATCATAATTACAATATTTGGCTCATACTGTTATTACAAATAATTCATTAAAAAATAAAAGGGTTTGTTTAAAGAAATACCTGCTTGCAAATATCAGCTCTGTTATTAAAGTTTAAAGAGAGGAGATAAATAAACACTAAAAAAAAAAACCCACACAATCAAATTGCACTAATTCAATATATTGAAATGAAAACTTGTTTTTCTCATCCACAGTCAAGTATTTTGATAAAGCATTTGTTAATGTTTGACATTTTATTAATTAGATATAATTTTTAGTGTAAGCATTCTTTGTAATTTCATTTTATTTCAGTCATAATGTGGTGAATACAAAAAGTTTGTTCATTTATAAAATTGATTTTTTTTTTTATTATATCATTGGCCTAAGAAAGTGTGTCAAATATACTGTATGTCCTTGTACTGAAAGGTTTGGAGATTGCTGCTTCAAGTGAATAAAAGTGTGCTTTTCTTACCTTTCCATTAGAATACCAAAGCATAGCATGGTTCCTTGACAGAACTTTGCAGTCAAATGTGCCATTGGTGGGAGATGGGCGAGCCTTAGCCACAGATCTGCCTACTTTGACTGGTTCATGGAGAGAGATGTGTCGCTCAAGGAATGGGTGTGAATTTGGTCTACATGAGAAAATGGCCACAGCTGACATTGCTGCTCATTAGTCCTCCCCTTCAACCTGAAAAGACAAATATAAAAATAAATAAATAATATATATTTGCAATTAAGAGTAAATATGCACAATGTTTAAATCAAGGCCACAGATATACAAAAAGTTTACAAAAATATACACACATTTGTAGGAAATGTTATGTTATTTTTCAGAACAGTTTGTATATTTTAGGATGTGCAGGTAGTGTAATGGTTAACAGCTCAAAATGAATATATATATATATATATATATATATATATATATATATATATATATATATATAAAAGGTTAATAGTCAGAGTTGAATCAGTAGTGTAAAAAAGTGCTCTATACACCTATGAAAAAATTAAATATAACATGTAGAAGTTTTTAAATTTAAAAATTAGATCAGTTGAATCCGCTACCTTGGTTTTATCTTTACGGTATCCTCAGGATATCTTGATTAATTGACCTCCCAACACTTTTTTTTTTTTTTTTTTTTTAAAACTAATGAACGCTATATTATTTTTAAAAATAAATATCAAACACACGAAGTTATTTACTTATGCACAAATACCCTTGGGAAATGTATGGATCCATTCATCTCTTCTGCCAGCTGTGGGTTAAATATAGCAAAGCAGTCTGAACTCTCTGTGGTTGACAACGAATCAAGGAGATGGACAATTCCGAATTCAAAACCATATACTGGGTGCTATGGGTAAATTGTTGCCATTTTATATTTTTAATTTCGCGCGCACACACACACACACACACACAAGTGTTTGTTGATTGCACTGTAGGGTCAGTTGGACAGTCTGTGAGAAGAGCACCATGATGCAATTTACTCTGCCAGAAATTTGGAAATGGTATGCAGTACTGCGTGGCATTCACACCAGTAGCTCCAAGATGAACATTTCAGAGTGTCTGGGCATCAATCTGAGGACAGTGTAGAGGATTCAGAAAGAATTGGAGGAGTCTAATGGTGATTATGAAGGTACGGCAGCTCGGAAAACTCACTGATCGTTCTGATAAGAACTCCCAAATTTGTTGGTGAGGGCCTCAACTAAATACAGAGGCCTACATCAAGTGCCTTGAGAAGGGAATGCTGCCCTAGGTCAAAAGGGTGGCTGCTAGAAGACCCTATTTCCAGCAACAGAACTCTGCACCATCCCACACAAGCAGGAGAACTCAGTCATGGCTCTCAAACAATTTCTGCAACCATATCACCCCTTACATCAGGCCACCTAACTACCCAGACTGTAACATTGATAATTATGCCTGGGACAGAGTTGAGCGAGAGACCCAAAAATCTCCTTGTAACACCAAAGATGAACTGAAGCCAAGGATTACAGTAGCATTCACCAATTTAAACAAGGAGACCATCCAGAAGAGTTGCAGGAGATTCCAAAGTTTTTTGAAGGCTGTGGCAATTTTATTGAATAAATTTACTCTTTAGTATTTCAAGATATTTTTGTGTAATTTTGGTAAATATATCTATCAAAATGAAATATCACTTATTTTCATTTTTGCGTAATTTAGGCCACAATTTCATCCATTGCACCAAGTACAGTCCTGGCGAAGTACATACCATGCAGTCAGGGTAAGGACTATGAAGTTTGCAATTAACTTTCCTTTATGATATCTAGACTTTATATGTACTCAAGTGCAAGGTTTCATCATTTTACAGTTGAAATGGCTAGATGTAATCATAAATTCTATACCAACAGTTTCTTCTATCATACTTATTGCTTCCCAGCCAATTTTTGATCTTCAAAAATTTAAATGCAATGTCAATAATTATCTACTGTCTTAATTTTTGTTCTTTTGTTATCTCTCCTTAATGGTTTTTTTTTCTCATTCTCTAGCATGCAGTAACTCCTTGGGGGTGAAATGATTTAAAAAAAAAAAAAAAAAAAAAAAAAAATAGTTCAAGGTTGTCGACTATGTTCCTTGCACTGAACGAGGTAGGTGCATATTCTGACATGATGAAATCTGACTGTATATGCACATTTTATAGCATAGGATAAACATGCACAAACATAAAATGGTATGGCACACTCATATTTCATAAATTACATACGCCTACTAAAATAACTGCAGGCAGCTGATAAATGGAAATTGCTTTCTTAACAATTTATGGCTGCTGCTAATTATAAAAATGAAAAACAGCATATGAAAGAATTGTCTCAACATTTTTACAACCAAATTACCCTTACCTACAAACAATGAGATTCTTTCAGAGACCAAGCTGGTTAAAATATTTGCTTATCCAATTGTTGCTATAGGTTACTTCAGTAACAAGTGTCAGTAACAAGTCACAATATATTTTACATTTAAGCTAGTGATATGGAAAAAAAAGTTAAATAGTGAATGGCATTATTTATATACTAGTTTACTTATACCATAAGAAGTGAAATAAAGACTACATTTTGCAAATGAATTGGTCAAATTTTCTTTGATTAATCTAGAGCTTTTATCAATACAACCATTGGTAGATGCAAAAAGAAGTCTGCTTTTTAAACATGAAACAGAAGAGACAAGTGATATATTAACTTGATCTCATTACCACAAAATATTCTATTGTAATGGTAACAAGAGGCATTTTGGTTACTAATATTGAGTATTGCTTCCTGTTGCCGTAACAGAATATCTCTAAGTAGTGGAGATCAAGTTACATGTCCAATAAATATATAAAATCACATCAAAGATGAGTAAAACTTTAAATCTGTAGTTTAACTAGGCACCATGCTATATAATCCGGATTAGTTTATATACAGATAAACCAAACTATTTAATATTTTGGTATTAACTTGTGTAGTACTCATCAAAATGGCAGATGTAGGGATCAGCACTTCTGCAAAAAGTGTTACACAAATATATATATATATATATATATATATATATATAAAAGAGAGACAGACATACATTTATGAGACAGGAAGCTGAAAGGTTTATAGCCAGACCACAATAAGTTTGCTGTGATTTTTAGAAGTGATTCAGGTTGAGAACTTTTCAGCACCCCCTCATATATATACACTGATGGAAAATAAAACTGCAACAGCCTGAAGGATGAAGCAGATTTTGACCTGGTTACAATATGTACATGCTAGGGCTTAGTAGATATTCTTGGAAAATTTTCAAGCTCTCTGGTCATCTTGTGACATAGTATTACTTATACCAGTGCATCAACAATAGATGGTGACACATGCTGCATTGCTGCAATAACATTCAGTATGGTGAAAGAATCCTGTGCAAGCCGGTTTCATGCCAGAAAAACAAGTGTGCTCATATTCTTCAGTTAGAGCCATTTTAGAGGAGATGGATTGCAAACAGAGGTTGGTTGACCATTTCAGAGAATTGTTGCATATGACATTTCAGTGGAGTTTTAATGTTAGTAACAATGGTCAAAATGAACATTCTATACTGTACATCAGGTTCTGGATGGCCATGTAGTACAGATATTCAAAATTCATGGCATTGTAAGAGCAGAAATGGAACATTGTACAGTGTCCACAACAGAAAGAAAATGTGCACCTATGAGTGTAAACTCAGACTGTTGGGAACAGACATGTCAGATATAATATGAAAAGTTCTCCACCCAACAAAGAAAAGATTAAAAAAACTGATGTTTCTCAGATTTTTGGAAGCAAGTCAGGATGAATTTTTTTTTCCTTTTCTACCATCATTAGATGCTAGTGTTAAGATTATTTTGAGATGACAGTTGATAGAGAGGGAGCATTACTTTCCATAAAATATCGAGACATCAACAGTTATAAATGAAACATCTTTCATTTTCAAAATTGCTACCATAGAATTCGGTGTTACTGTAAACATTTTTCAGAAATATTCTTATATTTGCATTTTGAACACATACACATATATATATATATATATATATATATATATATATATATGTGTGTGTGTGTGTCATGCGTTGTTAAAGACTACAGAACTTGTCTGTTTAATAGTTTGTTTTTTTTTTTTTGTAGGGGGGGGGTTCTTGCTTTCTCACACGTTTCTTAATATTTGGGTCAAAGTTGTCAAATAATGCCCTAGTCTAGGGTGTTTTGCCAAGCATTTTCAGTTATCATCAGCCATCATGGCTGTAGGTTTTGGTTTGAAATAAGTTGTTTATTATTTTAGTTTTATAGATAATATTTTGGGTGTATATAAATAAAGAGAAAATAAAATAATATTTGATGGTGACCTAATAATACAATTTGTAGTTTAAGTAGAACCACCAACCAGATAACACTATACAGCCAGCAAAGCCATTCTTGTATTGTTGAACAACAACTTAACCAACCCCCGAAATCTAAACATGTCCTACTCTACTATTATCTTAATCATTCTTTTCCTTAACATACCTGTGCTATCACAAATGCAAAACCGAGAATAAAACCAGATTATTAAGCAAGGAGAAATTAATCCCTTTCTCTCAATCACTTTCCTTCATAGAGCTTCTGTTGTCATTTGTCACTGCAAAGCTACAAATATCAATTTTTACTTAGTCACAGATTATGCAAATCAATATAAGTACTTTGTCAGTAATGAGAATAAATCAAGAAAGATTTATCCCAAGTCTGGATGGCCAAGGCAAAATTACTCATGTTTTTTGATATAAAACAAACATGAAATTGTCAATTATATATCATTTGAAAATGTATTCCATTACTAACAGTTACAAAACCTCACAGTTGAAATGTACTCACTTTGCAATTTGGCACAATTTAAACTTTTTAGTGATGAATTGTTAAATAAAAACTTTAAAAGCAGGGAGATTCATAAATTCATTAGTCCAATACACCATAATAACTTCATTATCTTTATGCCCAACAAGTTAAAATTTACCTATGAAGGATGAATATACATGTACACACTAAAGAGAGTATAAAATGGAAAGAGACACTAACAGATACTAAAACAATGATAAACTGAAAACTTTCACTTAAATTTACATGAATTTAAATGATTGTAGTATAAGCAAATTGTTTAAAAAGAAAAAAAAAAAAAAGTCCCAT